AGAGCACCATACCAGGACAGGACCCACAGCTGTCCTGCATCAGCTTATACCGCTGTCCTTGTGTGCCAGGTCCTCTCAGCCTTCTCCAAGTGGCTGCTAGCCAAGAGGTCTGTGGTCTTGGCCTCAGGGGAGCCTGGAGGAGAAACAGATGAGGGCAGATGGGCAGGCAAGGTCACAGCAGCTGTAGTGTATGCATTGTTCCTTATTACCTCGGCCAGGTGGCAGTGGGCACGGAGCCTGACAGCCCTAGGAGTAGGGGGTGTTGGACTGGACAGGAACCACAGCCCCACCTAACTGTGAAATCCCACCTGGGGTTCCTGGACTGCTGCCCTGCTGGCATGCCTGTGTGCTGCTGAGACAACAACGATCATTCATTCATCCATGGACATTTACTAACCATCTACCCTGGCACTCTCCTAGGTGCTAGGAATACCACAGTGAACAAAACGGGTATGGCCCTGCCTTCTTGGAGTCTTATAGTTGAGTGGGATAGACAAACACATAGACACACAACTTCACATTGTAAAAGAACTATCAAAGAAGAAAGGGTGCCATGTAGGAGAGAACCCATTTTAAACTGCGTGGTCAGGAAGGCCCCTCTGATGAGGTGACATTTTGCTGAGATTTGTTTGCCATTCTGTGAGGACAGCATCCAGCTGGAGGGGACGCCACAGGCAAAGACTCTAGAGTGGGCTGAGGAAGAGAGCAGAGGCCAAAGTAGCTGGAGCAGGTTGGGGTGGGAGGGGAAGAGCAAGGCCTGGCAGGGCCCTGAAGTTCCCTCTTTTTTTCAACTTTTTATTTGGAAATAATGTCAAATTTACAGAAGTTGCTCAAACAGAAATAGTACAAAGAACACTATGTAGTTTTAATTTGGCTATTTGTGCTTTCTCTTTCTACCTCTAGACATACACACCTGCACATGTCTTTTTCTCTGTATATCAGTTACAAATATCATGGCCCTCTACTCTTAAATACTCCAACATATTTCTGAAGACTGGGATATTCTATTCCATAACACCATAATCAATTTCATAAATTTACATTGATACAGTACCTTCACCTTCTGTTTATATCTGATCTTCTCAGTCGACCCAATAATGACCTTTAGAGCACTCCCCCCTACCCCAGCCCCATCAAATACAGGATCCAGTCTAGAGTCAGACTGTTGGTGTATCTTTTAATCTCGAACATTTCAAAGCCCTTTCCTTTGCCTTTTATGCATTGATCATTTTTAAGAATATAGCCTCAACCTTTTTTATTTAATTTAATTAATTAATTTATTTATTTTTGGAGACAGAGCCTCACTCAATTGCTCTGGGTACCATAACATGGCATCATAGCTCACAGCAACCTCAAACTCCTGGCCTTAAGCAATCCTCTTGCATCAGCCTCCTGAGTAGCTGGGACTACAAGCACCCGCCACAATAACCAACTAATTTTTCTATTTTTCGTAGGGACAGAGTTTCACTATTGCTCAGGCTGGACTCAAACTCCTAAGCTCAAGCAATCCATCTGCCTCAGCCTCTCAAATTCCTGGGCTCAAACAACCCTCTTACCTCAGCCTCCTGAGTAGCTGGGACTACAGGTGCCTGTTACAACACCTAGCTAATTTTTCAATTTTCTTTTCTTCTTCTTCTTTTTTTTTGGGACAGAGTTTCATTCTGCCTCCCTGGATAGACATAGAGTGCTATGAAGTCATCATAGCTCGCAGTTACCACAAACTGTTGGGATCAAATGATCCTCTTGCCTCAGCCTCACAGGTAGCTGGGACTACAAGAGTGCAACCACCACACCCGGCTAGTTTTTTTTTTCCATTTTTAGTAGAGACAGGGTCTCGCTCTTGCTCAGTCTCAAACTCATGAGCTCAGGCAATCCTCCTGCCCCAGCCTCCCAGAGCACTAGAATTATAGGCATGAGCTAATTTTTCTATTTTTAGTAGATATGGGGACTTGCTTGAGGGATCCACCCAACTCAGCCTCCAGAGTGCTAAGATTACAGGTGTGAGGCACTGTGCCTGGCCTGCAACTCTTTTTCATAGTATGTTCCTCATTCTGTGCTTGTTTGACGGTTTCCCGTGATTAGATTGGGTTACAATCTTGGCCACAATGCCTTATAGCTGATATATCCTTTTCTTTCTTTCTTTTCTTTTCTTCTCTCTTTTTCTTTTTGTTTTTTGTTTGTTTGTTTTTTGAGACAGAGTCTCACTTTGTAGAGTGTCATGGCATCACAGCTTACGTCAACTTCAAACTCTTGGGCTTAAGCAATTGTCTTGTCTCAGCCTCCCAA